TTTTATAAGAGAGGCAGAGGTTTAGACAGAGAGGAAAGGAAGGCATTGTGATAAACAGGTAGAAATCATGTACAAGTTCAGGAGCATTCAGAGCCACAAATGTTGAAAGAGAATGAGAATCAGATTCTACCTGGTGACTTCAGAAGAAATAGGGATTGATGACAAATTGATTTCAGAGCTATAAGAAAATGAAACTCTTGTTATTTTAAGCCACTCAATTCATGCTCATTGTTTAATGTAGATCTAGGAAATTAGTCCATATTAAAACTCATGCTGCAATTTGAATAGAATAGTTTTGCCGCTGTATTTGAGATATTTGACTGTGCCGACCACAAAAAATTATGGATAACTTTATGAACAATAGGGGTTTCAGAGAACTTAACTGTGTCCGTGCAGAACTTGTACATGGACCAACCGACGGTCATTTGAAGAGAACAAATGTATCCTGCATGGCCAAAATAAAAAAGGTGTGAAGTTTTCACCATACTTATTCGATCTGTATGCGGAGTATGTATTCTGAAAAGTTGGACTAAATGAAGAATTTAACAACAGGATTAGAAGAAAACTCATTAACAACCTGTGCTGTGCTGATGACATAGCTGGTTTTCTGAAATTGGAGAGTTGACATGCTTACTGAGATCGAAGATTACAACAGCCCTTGGCATGAATTGCACTTCAACATAAAATATCTTTGAAATCCTTCAACTGACCTAAGAAGCAACATCATGATAGATGAGAAAAGATTGAAGTTGTGGATGATTTTGTAATACTTACATCCAAAGTAAGTCCCCTTGGAATCAGTAGTCAAGAAATCAAATACCATATTGCTTTCAGCAAATTTGTTACCAAAAGTCCTCTTTAAAGTGTTCAAACACAAAGATATCCCTAAGATGTGCTTGCTGTCATCCAGTGGTGTTTTCAGACACCTCATATGTTTGTGAAATCTGGTCAGTGAATAAAGAAGACAGAAAAAGAATTGATGCTTTTTAAAATTATGAGGGGCTACCCCCGCAAAACACAGAAAAAAGCTCCACTGGGTGGAGCGTTCATTGTATACATTTTTTCTGCTAGGTGAGCATCAGGCAATGTGCTCTGAGTTAGTGCACTCAGGGGTATGACCTGGGAAGGTTCTCAGTAGTCACAGTGAATTTTTTTGTGAAAGCAGTTATGCTCAAACCTCATTTTTTGTGATGGCTGATTTAATAGAACAGTGTGCAGCTGTGAAATTTTGTTTCCTGTTTGGGAAAAATGTGGCAGAAACTGTTGTGATGTTAAACACGGCTTACAAGGACAGCACTATGGAAAAATCTCGAGTGTATGAGTGGTTTTCTCATTTCAAAATGGTGAAATGTCGATTGATGACAAACCTCATTCTGGACATTTGTCAAGTTCCCGAGCAGATGAAAATGTTAACCAAATTTGTTCACTTGTGCTTGAAGGCCGATGACAATGACAGACCATTGAAGAGATGGGGATGTTATCTAGACTATCTTAGAGCTCCCTTCAGTGAATTTGAAGGACGATTTGGGAATGAGAAGGGTTGCAGAAAAATGTGTACCTGGACTTCTGGCTGACCAGAAAAAGAGCATCCGGTGGAAACATACCATGTCTTGAAAGAACAGCCCTGAAGCAACCCAGACTTTTTCCCAAGGTCAT